TTCTAGTACACATACACAAAAATAAAACAAACACATAATGACAGGGACACATGTAGATTAGATGGTGTTTGGTTTTGTTGCATTTTATTAAAATATTTTTCTTAATTTGAGTGAGAGCTAATTGCTGGGAAACACCATTTTTAATTTTTCTCTCAACATCTATGGCGTCTAATGACACCTAACTGTCAAACAACACCAAATAAAAAAGTACAAGCGTTTATTCAAATAAACAGCCCCTTAAAGTTGATTATCGGACTATTCACCAAATTGTTTTCTAGAACAAAAAAAAAATGCAACCTCAAAAAATAAAAGTTGTATTGTGCAACATGGTACATACATTTTGAAAAGCCAAATGATAGTATGTGGAACTATTTGATATAGGAGAATTTGGATTTTCTCCTCTCATCCACCTCACAATATGTTCATGTCAAGGTTCAAAAAATTGTTACGTATCAGCCCATATTGGCCGATATGTATCATATCGGGCCTTTCCCGATACGCCCCTACAGGGATTGTATCAGGTCAGGGCCTGGTTCAGAGGGTAGCTGGGACTTAAACCAGCCCCTCCGAACCAAAATAAAATAAAATAAAGTGGAAGTTAAAAAAAAAGGGCCGATACTGGCCAATACGCCCAATATCAATACTTTGAACCTTGTTTCATGTTTATGCGAATAACATCTTGTAAGGGTATTTGGTTCAATCAAATCTGATCAATATGAATCCATTACAAATGAAACGAGTTTAAGTTGACCAATTATAACCTCCTATTATCCAATGCAAATCAACAGGTATGCTTTGTTGGCCTTTCAAGTTAAAGCCTGAAAATAGAAAGTTGCATCCAGCTTAGGGTGTTCATTATATGGTTCAAATCGTACTATGCACAAATAGGGTGTTCATTATATGGTTCAAATCGCAAAAATAAACCGAAGTAAACCGAATTTATAGTTTGGTTTGGTTTATATCTTTAAATAGTTTGATTCGATATGAAAATTTTCTAAATTGCGATTTACGGTTTTGATTTGATTTATTGAATTTTATAAACCGAACTAAATTATAAATCCTAAACCGAAATTATATATATAATATGAATATATGATATATAAACATTATATACATAATATATCTAAAATTCTAAATGGAATGCCAAAATTATAAATATATAATGAACTTTTTATTTTATAATAAAATAATAAATAAAAGTTTTAAGTTTTAAGTTTTAAGTTTTAAGAGAGCTATTTGGGTTGGGTTAAACCCAAAAGAATCATAGAATAGTCCAAAGTCCCCAAATCGTATTAAAAACCGCACCAAACCGTAATAAAACGGTTTGATTTTGTTTGGTTTCAATACCAAAACGGTTTTATTCAATTTAAAAATTTTTCAAACCATAATTTACTGATTTGGTCTGAGATCTTCTCCAAACTACATCGAACCGAACCATAAACACCCCTATCCACAAACACAAATATTAATCACATAAGATGTAAACTTTTATAACTTGTACCACAACGAAGGCAATTATATGCTTTACATAGAATATAGACATTTTCACGAAGTTAAATGGAAATTTATAACTAAAGAATCGATAAGGCAAATATCCACTTTATGTAAAATAGATACTTTCATGAAGATTGATGGAAATTTCTAGCTAAAGGAGGATAGAGTGAAACTGTGAAAGGATTTGGTGTTACTTTGGTGACCCCCAAATACCGGGATGGATGTGGGGTGACGACAGCGATTCTGATGTCGACATTCACTTCAAAAGTTTTACAACTTGTTCTCACAATTGGTCCTCTTTCTCTTTGGGAGGTGTTTGATAATCACTGAAGTTAAAAAATTGTAATATAATAAAAGAAAAGAAAAAAGGGGAAGGGAACCTAGGAAAATTGCTGCATCAGCGTTCCAGTGGCTCTTCTCTCCTTATTTTTAGAATTTAGAATGATAAATAAAACAATGATGTTAAAAAAAATTATCATATAATAATAATTCCCCTAGATTTCTAATGATCTTAAATTGAAAAATCTTCCCAATTCTGCTTTCAAGGCCGCTTAGTTTAATACTATTTTAGTTAACATAACCTTTATTTTTTATATAACTATTTTAGTTATACTCGGTGCATTGGAAGGTATATTGCGATGGTTGTTTATCCGTATATATAAATGGAATTGACGTAAAGCCACTGCAAAATAAGCTTTTGCATTATAAAGTTAATTCGCAACAATTAATAACAGTCTTTTCAGCTCTATACGTAGATATACATTTATTTGCATGAGAGAGAGGGGATTGACTCTAAAAAGATAATTTAAGGTTTTCACTTTGTTTAGTTAGGTTAAAGGAAAGAAGGTTCGTTCCTCTTTCAACTCCCCACCCACCTTACACAAACACACACACAGCGTGATAATTAATTCAACCAAAAACAAAAAAGTATAATCAGATCATTTCCTTCGCAAATTGGTTTAAATTTAGTAGCTATGTATCAACTGTTTTTGAACTTTTGTTGGGTTTTCTTCGCCCAACTAATTAATTGAATAAAAAAGTGAAACTAGGCTGTTCATCCCCTGGATTGGACCGGTCTGGCTTGTTGGTGCGTTGACCCATGAAATGCTTCCCCTTTCTGTCATTTTTAAGGGCATAGAAATTTATTTTCAACATCTAAAATTTTAGTTATGATTTTTTGGCTCTTTAGTTTTAGGTTTCTATATTACCTTTAATTTTTTTTACTGTGAAAATTTTTCCACTCACACTATTAAACTGGAAATTGGGTGTCAGCATCGATGACCATGAAATGGAACTTAGTAATAGGATACTTGCGGCAAGAAGCATATGACGTGGTATAGTTCCAGCTGACATGTTGTCCCACGAATTATTGACTCGGGAGCGGTTTGCCACGTATCTTGTTATCCCAGGCCGCTGATCTCTAGCTCTAGCCTTTTTGTTCATCATAGGCATCATTAATCACGTGCGTCAATTAGTAAAATAGCCATGGTTATTGTTATTGAAATTTTGTTAAATCCAATAAATAAGAATCAAATTAAATGGTGGTTGATGGGCCTGAGGGTTCATAGTGGGGTCAATGAGTCCAATCCAACGAAATGCCAAGATGGGCTCTTTTTTTTTTTTTTTCCTTTGGCAAGGGCAAGACGGCAAGAGTCAAGAGACTCAAAGAAGACCTTTCCTGATTCCTCTCCTATACAGAGCACGTAGGGGGTGTTACCACTATTACCCCTTTGATCAGAATGTGGTTTGTTTCTAATTACATTTCTGTTTCTTCTTCTCTTTCCTTTTACTGTTTCGCTTTGGCAATTGGCTATTGTTACTTAATCCCGGCCCGCAAAAAAAAAAAAAGAGTAAATAATCAATAAAAATGGTGCTAAAGTCTAAGGTTATGTTTGATTTGAAAGAAAATGCATGGAAAGGAAGGAAAAGGCAGAAAAACCTTTACAAACCTTTATAGATTTCCTAGTCTTTCCCTTCCTTTCCTTACCTTTTCTTTCAAACCAAACATAGCCTAAGGTTATGTATTAATTTGACTAACATAATAATAAAGAGATATTTAAGAGGAAGGAAAGAAACTGGGCAGAGTCCTGACTTTTGGTTGTCTTTTGGAGCATGTAAATAATGAAGGAATGGTGTTGATGATCGAAAATGAAGTTGACTTTTGGGGCATGACTCATGAGTTGGGGGTCCAAGAATCTCTTTCCTCCATTTCCCCATTGGAAACAAAAATACCATACCGATTGCCATGGATGGAATTGGAATGTTGTTAATTGATTGCTGATCAGATTCAAACAAAACAAATTAAATGGAAGAAGAAAGAGGGAGGTATTCCGTATTCCCATCATCTTCAAAAAAAAATATTATTTGAAGATGATGATGTGATTTCAAATAAAAATGGGACATCCACCACTTTTTGAGCGGAATTCTTCATAGTGCACTTACATTAACATAGTCTTGGGGCGGGGTGATATCATATCCATTTTTAGATTCCAACACATTACTTGAATATGAAATAGATGGGTCCGGTCATCTACTCACTAGTCGCGCTCACGCCCCAAGCCCCAAGCCCCAAGGCCAAAGGGTTCGATCTGACAAGAGTCAAAGCTTACTTGAGTCGTGTCGTGAGTTCCATCAGGCATCAACAAATTGTGACCACTAAGTATGAAGGCAAAGGGTTAAATCAGAAATCCTGTTGGGCTTCCAAATTACAAGTCCAATCAAGTATCTCAACAGCAACAGAGCAGGGTGGTTGAGGTCCCTCTCCTGCCATACGGTTGGCCGGTTGGAGGTGGTTCCTCGTCTCGTATGAAGAACCTCTACGATTAGACCTGAAATGGACGCTGCACGATGAGATGAGATGAGATGAGATATGACCACTCACAAAACAATGACAATTGATAAAGCCCCATTTAATATTTACAACCTGATGTTACAAACTCAACTTTCTTTAGGTACCCTACCCAGGGCCAGGGTCAGAATAAGAATATTAATAACCCCATCCTCATGGACTATGTATAATTAATTCCATCACATGAAGTGGGGGAGTGTGGAGGACCGAGGACGGAGGAGACATTCCACAACTAGGCGGAGCCTAATCAAAATCCCAAAGTGGGAGATATCTGAGGTTCATGAATCAAGACTCGAGACCCAGCTGGTAGTAGTCGACAAAGCACGACAGATTCTCCTCTTAACTTTGTTGGTATCCTACTAGATTTGGAGAGAGGGAGGGGGGGTGAATCCATATTCCATCCATACCTCTTTAATTAAGTCTTTAGTTTAGTCTTTACCAAATAGGCAACCACAACAGACGACCGAGTGACCTGGACCACTAGATGATAAGTAAAGATTAAAGGAGGAGCCAGGTGGCCAACCAGGTGAGTTGAGAGCACTGGTGTGGGTATGGGTGATTCTGACCCCAAGAAAACCCTAATCCTATCAAAACATGAAATGAAGCCGCCTCATCAACCACAAACCCTAATAAAAAAAAAAGAGACCCAACTCACAAATGCAAGGAAGGAAAATAACCGAGGAGACCTGAGGCTGAAGGGAGGAGGGGAGGAGCCAGGAGGGAGGTATAGACGTGTTGTGGGGCCCACGTGGCAGCATCAAGGCCGGAAAAAGCCCATGCGCTCCCTCTATTTCTTTAATGTCCCTCCAAAACTCTTCTTCGTCCGACTCAGGAGTCTGCTTTAGCCGCGGTCACAGCACACCACCACCACCCACTGAAAGCCTGAAAAAATAAAACACAAGAAGAGCGACACCAAATCCGTCTATCAATCCATAGTTCCGTTTGCTGTTCGACTTCTTCTGCTTCAATGGATTCTTGGACTTCTTCTGTCGACGTTGACGATGAATTCGAAAAGCTCCTCATTCGAATGAATCCTCCCAGGTATGCTTTGTCTCTCTGCTTCCAATTCGGGTCTCCAGTTATGTTGTAATAATTTCTTCATCTTCTTTGATGATCTGTGCCGGGGTTTCTCTTTCTATGGCAATTTCTCTGTTTTTAGTTGGAAAACTGAGATTTTTGAATGGTTTGATGATGTTATTATTGTTCTTCCTCCGCGCTTGATGCCGGATTTGCAGGGTTACTGTTGACAACACTACAAGCAGGAAAGCAACGTTGATTAAGGTACGCCTTGTAGAGACTTGTTGTTCAGATGTTTTTGGGCGATTTAATTTCCGGGTTGTCAATTTTTTCTTACAACAATCGAAAAGGAAACTCTTTTCCAACTTCTTTTCTTTTTTTTTTTTTCTTCTTGTTCAAAATTTCTGGAAATTTTACAGGTTGATAGCGCTAACAAGCACGGAAGCCTTTTAGAGGTCGTTCAGGTTCTGACCGATATGAATCTTACAATTATCAGAGCTTACATTTCTTCGGATGGTGAATGGTTTATGGATGGTAAGTCGTTGGTTGTCTTCTTCTTTCTTTTGTGTTATCTGTTTATTGGGTTTCCTTCTTTTCCTGTAGTTAATCTACTCTTTTTATCTAATTTTCCTGCCTCATTTGTTTCATGTAGTATTCCATGTTGTTGATCAAGATGGGAATAAGCTATTTGATGAGAAAGTCATCGACCGCATTCAACAGGTAGATCCGTAAAACAACTCTTCTGTGTTACTCTGGTCCCAAGTCATCTTACTAGGACATCCCAATGTAATAGTAGAACTGTTTATTGTTCTTTGTTTGTTTTCTTAGAAGATTCCGTTAACAGTAACTACTTGATTAAAAAAAATGATTTATAGAAGTAGGATTTTTCTGATTCTGATCCCTTGCAAGAGCCATGAATTGCCCTAATTTTAGTTGAGCCTTGTTTAAGACAGTACTCCATTTTGCAATGCTTCCTGTGGCTGCAAGATCAGCAAGGAGTCTGTAAGGCTGATCCCAGGATTAGCCATGAGTGTAGATCTTCGAACTCTAAACAATTCTTTAGTTATGGTTGAAAAAAAAAACATAATTGAACTTAATTCATCACAAATATCCTGACCTGCTCGTTCACTCTGTCTAAGACCATATCCTCTTTCATAACATCACAATGAACATCTTCCTTTCTTCCCTTCCCGTTTACCAAAAACAATTACTTACTGATGAAGTGAAAAGATGCTTATATTAGGTTTTTCTAATTGCAAACTAGAAGGAATTTTTCCTCAAACCCCACCCCAAACACACACAGAGAATGCTTAGCTTTTGTTCACTTGTTTTTGTAGAATGTCTCAGGGATATTGTGTGGGTGTATGTGTTCAGATGATTAACTTTAAAATATATTGCAGTCACTTGGATCAAGAGCACAAAGCCTTCGGTCCCTGAGAAGATCAGTTGGTGTACAGGCTGCTGCAGAGCATACAACAATTGAATTGACTGGAAGAGACCGTCCAGGATTACTTTCAGAGATCTTTGCCGTTCTTACAGACCTCAAATGCAATGTAGTAGCTGCTGAAGTTTGGACCCATAATTCAAGGATGGCATCAGTTGTGTACATCACAGATGAAGCTACTGGATCACCAATTGATGATCCTGACAGGCTTGCAAGGATCAAACAACTCCTCCTTTATGTGCTTAAAGGGGATAGAGATATGCGCACTGCCAACACTGCTGTTTCTGTGGGCACCACTCATACTGAAAGGAGGCTGCATCAAATGATGTATGCTGATCGTGATTATGATAGAGAAGATATGGGCAACAGTCCCGCAATTGATCGAAGCAAACCATGTGTGACAGTTGAGAACTGTGCAGATAAGGGGTACACTGTAGTGAATTTGAGGTGCCGTGACCGGCCCAAGCTTCTCTTTGATATTGTGTGCACATTAACAGACATGCAGTATGTTGTTTTCCATGGAACCGTTGGTACAGAAGGACTAGAGGCTTATCAGGTATATATCAGTTGCTGAGATGGCATTTGTTGGATTTCATGTGAAACATTTATTGTTGCTAAACATGTAATTAATGAGGATCTCCGTTGCAACATTCTTTTCATATTCGTGTTAACTCTATTGTCCCACATTTCTTCATTGTTCTTGACTAATAGGAATATTACATCAGACACAAGGATGGATACCCCATTAGGTCTGAAGCAGAAAGGCAACGATTAGTGCATTGCTTGGAGGCTGCTGTTCAGAGGCGAAGTACAGAAGTATGAATTTGATAAGATTGATTTGTGTCTACATTTTCTTTTTAATACAAGTAAATACTGAGACTGAAGTTCTTCTATTGCATGCATAATCCAGGGAATAAGACTTGAGCTCTGTATTGAAGACCGGATTGGGCTCCTATCTGATGTAACCCGCATCTTCAGAGAGAATGGGCTTTCAGTCACTCGGGCTGAAGTAACAACCAGGGGGTCCCAGGCTGTGAACTCGTTCTATGTGACAGATTCATCAGGGAATCCAGTGAAGAGTGAAACAATTGAGTCTGTGCGAAGTGAGATTGGCCAGACAGTTCTCAGGGTGAAGGATAACATCTACACAAATTCTCCACCACAAGAAAGCGGAAGGTTCTCTCTTGGTAATCTCTTTCGATCTAGATCAGAGAAGTTTCTTTATAATTTGGGGTTAATAAGATCATGCTCCTAAACAGAGCATTATCAGGTCAACCTGGTACAACCATCCAATGTACATACGAATTAAAGGTAGTTTGTGCAAGCAGGTTTGTTCTAACCATTTGTGTTCGGATGGACATGTGAACTTCCCTTCAACATATTGTTGATTTGGGCTTGCCTCCGGATCTCTCTCCGGTCACTTTGTAAAATTAATTATATGAAAAACATCTCTCTTGTAGCTTCCTTTGACCCACAAGGGTATTGTAAAGTGTAAATATGCTTATGCAACTATCAATAACATCAGGATGTTAATGTTCTATTTGCAGTGTTCATTCTTCTCGCCTCACCTTCTCATAGATTTCACAATGTAAAAGAGGCTTATTGGAAAATTCTTTAGCATTCTAACAAGGACATGGATGAACTATCTTGGGGAAAAAAAGAAGAAAATATAGAGGTAGAAAGATGAAGGATTATTTGTGGAAAGTCTTTTTCAAATAAAGACAAAATCTTTGTCACTTTTAACCTCAAATATGTGAAGTTGTGAACTCATGATTTCATTAAGACATCTAAAACGATGCAAGTCCTTTTTTATTCCTCAGTTCAACGTTGTCAAATGTGATTCATGTGAACCCAATACTTGGTGGGGTCTCTGGGTTTTCACTTTTCAGTGGATTCCACCCGACTCTAATTAGTTATTAGTGGACTCCACTCCGCTCTCTTACTTTTAAGTTTTAAGAGGCCTTTTTTACCCTTTGGCGAGTTCCTTGGAAGATTATTTGACTCATTAGATGGTCATTAACATTTTTTTTGTCGTTTCAAAGATGATTATTAACTCGGGTAAGGTTTAAATTATTTGACATAACGCATCTAATACAGGCTGCATGGTTGGAATATGTATGTTTTGGAATTATTTCACCTGTGTCAATTGTCAAACCATATTGCCAATATCATGTTGTATCGCACATTATAGGTCCATCTCCAATCAATACACATCAAAACAAAAAGATACTAGTTGCCACACGGCAAAATGGGTTTTCATATTACTGTTTTCCACTTTTTTGGCCCATTATCTTCACCTTAGAAAATCTTTGCCCTTATGGGAGAATTCCTTAGGCTGCGTTTGGTTTGAAGGAAAAATTAGGGAAAGGTAGGGAAACCTTTACAAATCTTGTATAGGTTTCCCTACCTTTTCCTTCAAACCAAACATAGTTTTAGAGAAAACTTGAAATTCTGCATTAAAAAGGAAGAAAGCTCATTAAGATCTACAAATAAAAATCTTCTCAGAAAGTTTTAGATGCAAGAAGAGGAAAAAGATTTTAGGGGGAGGGGATTTCAATGTGTTTTGTTTTCTTCCTTTTAATAGTGTTAGATCAGGAAAATTTAAAAAAAAAAAAGCATTCTTGAACCATGTTTTTTTTCCAGAGGTAAAAACAATTTAATTTTGTTTCTGAAACAATCCATTTTATTGAAACCATCAAAATAGTGATCTATAAAACAAACAAATTTTGGAGTACAGATATTATGTGATTTATGAAATATGATATGAATCACCAGATAAAAAACAAGTTCTTCAAATGGAAACAAAAATACACATACAACCAAGAATATGTTTTCTATGTTTTTGACAATTGAGCTGTTTTCAAATCAGATGGTTTTGATTCATTTTTGCAACTCACAACAAGAAAAACAATTCACAATAGAGAATACCCCCCCCCCCCCCTAAACTTTAGAAGATCTACATATTTTAGCTGTGCAATATGCAAGGTTATGTTGATTGCTTGTTAGATTCATCATGTTTTTACTTGTAATAGATCTACAATTTTTTCCGAAAAAAAAGAACATTAAACTGTGCAATATGCAAGGGTATGCTGATTTCTTGTTTCTTTTTTTTTTTTTTTTGCAAGAAAAAATTGGAATTCATTTAACAGAAAGTTAAGGGAACATTTGGATCCCTTTACATGGTTTCTCAAAAAGATTGGTGAGGTGTACCAAGCTGGCATAGCTATTTACAAAAGAGTTCGTATGCCTAGCTCTCCTTGCCATTTCACGGGTTGGCAAAATAACATCCCTGCTTATATACATGATTTTTATATTATCAAAAAGAGATAGAAGTTCCAAAATATGGTCGTAGAGAGCTTGCTGGTCCCACTGTATCCGGTTGCTTGTCCCTTTGAACTTCGCTAACACTGCTTTATCATCTGAAAACAAAAAACCTGTCTTTACACCCATTCAAAAAAACTTTCGTAGTCTTCTAATCACTGCTCAGAGCTCAGCTGTTGCTGGGGATCTTACCAAACATGGTTCTTCTGCAAGGATAAGATGAGACCTGTGAGTGAACATATACAAATCAGTAGATGCAGTTTGTGTGAATGGGTTCCATGAGCCATCAACAAGAATGATCGAAAATTCTGAGGATAAAACTTGTTCTAAACCCTTTTTTGATTGAGGATCTGATGGATTGAGGAGTTTGAGTCCCGATTCTTTGTAACTGCAGTAACTTTCAGCCTTTCTCAATATTTGGATGGGGTCTGGTTCACTCTGTTAAATAATTGATTTCTTGTTAGATTCATAATGTTTTTACTTGTAGTAGATCTACTAATTTTTTTCCAAAAAAATGGGATAATTAAAAATAAAATAGATAATTTATTTTTGTGTTTTAATGGTTTTGATCGTAAGAAAGAAATATAAGATGGATCTACGAAACATCAATCAAGTCCATAAATCCATTAGATTTTTTTTAATTTTTAGTAACTTACATAAACAAAACTAAAAAAAAAATCAAAACAATTATACCATTCTCATAGATATGATATATTTTTAAATAAAGATTTCATTTTTGTAAATTATTAACTAATAATAAATAGCAATAGATTTATTATTTGCATAAATAAAAATGTTATTTACAAAAATGACTCGAATTGCATTAGTAATTTTTAAGATATTAGTTGGCATATTAAGAATTTAAGATTAAGACATTAAGTAGACTTAATAATTTTAGTAATTACTAAAAGTAAAAAGAATAAAATATAGAATTGCTTCAGTAATTAAAAAATAATTGCTGCATACGATTTGCCTTTCCGATTCTTGAATTTATGGATCTTCTACATGACTAGATTCTCATGGATATAATATTTTTTAGATTAATTATATATTTTAGTAATTATAATTAATAATTTAACTTAAAATAAATAATGGCATATTGATGGTTAAATACATATGAAGCATTATTGATGAAAAATAGAACCCGGTGAAAAATTTTTTTATCTGGTTTAAATTTGCATTTGCAAATAAATAAAGCTTCTAAACTGATAAAAACTAGTGTAAGAAATTTATTGATAAAGTAAATACACACCTGAGATAAGGGGGAGGGTGGAGAGAGAGAGAAAGAGATGGATGATTTTTTTTATTTTTTTTTTAACTTTTGGCAATTCTGGGTTTTGAAAGTTTATATAACATCATATGATCCGTACCTCAGGATGAATGAAACTGGTCCACTAGTGTTCAAGGATAAGGTAAACAAACAGACAAAAGAAGAGGTAACTAGGTAACCTTTTTTTTTTCTTTTTGGAGTAAATTTAGGTAACATAGTTTATAGAATAGAATGGTGCTGGGAATCGAATCACCTACCAATTGAAAACTGCTGGTAAGTGGGAATTTACCTACCAAGTTAATAATGATGGATGAAACGTACGTACAGGAAAGGGGTTGACAAACCTTTTATCCTATCAGCCTTGTTTTTTTTTTGTAGGAGACAATTTCTGCTCTCACACCCAATTTACAGGCACATCTTACCGTATATTAGGAACATCTCCTATGAATAATAACTCATAAATAGAGAGATGTTACCACTACACGGTGGTGGGATGTACCAAAACGATACGACTTTAACTCCTTATGCCAACTTTGAATTGGCTTTTGACGTTTTTCCTATATTGAAATTAAGGGCATGTTTGGTATTGTGGGCATTTTCTCAAAAAAATTGGTGCTACGTTTGCACCAGCTAGGTGTAAATATTTATTTGCACTTGAACCACTGTTTGGTTAATGTGTTTTTCAAAAAAAAAACATCAAAAAACTTAAACGCCTCGAGTTCGTCGAAAAGGGCCTCGATTTCTGTGCGGGAAAGTTTCAAATTCTCACTCCCCCAATGGTCACGAAATGCCAATCTTACCTAGCGCTGATGTGTCAGCTGAATTGGTTAAAAGTTGGCAAGATCCGGTGTATCACGGGCCACCCAAAATGCAACAAAAAAGTTAAAACCCTAACAAAACAAAAGACTTGTAGCGTCGGGACAACCATTCACACACATCAATAGGAGGAGCCATCGTGATCTCTACAGGAGCCATCCCATCCCGATCGGAAAAACACCGGTCGTCGTCATGCTGTTTGACGCCAATAAGCTAGTCCATTTGATAAGGAGGGGGAGTGCCAATAATTCCATTGTTTTATAGGTTTAACCCTAGATCGTTTACCATTTGACGCCAATAAGCCAGTCCGGCCGCTCTGTTCTTCATTCCTAACCAGCTATCTTTCTCTACTAATGTTTTCTCCATTTGATATGTTTTGTTTTCCTCTTTCCGCTTGTAAGCCTCAAGTAGAATTAGGTTTTTACTTTTTAGGGTTACTTGGGTTTTTATATTTTATCAGTTAGAAATAGAATTAAAAATGTGTTTTTTATATTATCACTATTAGCTTCCTATTAATCTTCTTATTCTATTAAAAAAATGTCCTATTGTTAGAAGCCTAAATAGAGAAATAACTAGTTGAATAAATATAAAAAGAAAAAGAAAAGAAAAATGTACTTTATCTTTACAAAATAACCTGAAAACAAAAAAGAAAACCCAAATCATCTTTCATGGAATTTCCCTCGACAATAATAACAATGAATAAAAAAAGGCCATTTTAGGATTAATTGAAAAAGGGTGAATACAAAGAGTACATCTGGATCTCCTACAAGCAAAAACTATGTGCATATAGCATTTAGCTGCCTCACATTAGGAATATCTCTTGTACATGTATATTAAATTCATAGGGAGATATTCCCAATGTGTGACTATACGTACATGATTGCAGTCTTTATTTAAAAGAGATCCTACTACAAATGCAAAATGGACATGGTGGGCACAAGTTCCTATTGGAATGAAAATTTTAGTGTATTAGAACCTATTATTTGATATGGATGGATGTGTGTTTGGCAAGGCCTCAAGCCCAATACTCTTTTGTACGAAGGATAAGAAATTTGTTAGAGAATAAAAACCTATTTAGGAACTTCACCTTTTTTAATATCCCATACTTTGCTAGAGGAGCTGCCACCTTAAGA